TTTTTTTTTTGTTTTTTGAGAAAGGTCTCATATAGCCCAGGCTGGCCTTGAATTTATTATGTAACTAAGGTCAGCCTTGAACTCCTGATTCTCCCACTACTACATTCCAAGTACTATGGTTACAGGCAAGGACCACCACGCTTGGGTTACAAGGGACTCTTAATACCTCCAACTTTTGGTCACTGTTTTGCAATTTAAAAAAAAATGGGCTGGAGAGATGGCTCAGTGGTTAAGAGCACTGGCTGCTCTTGCAGAAGACCTAGGTTCAGTTCTCAGCACCCACATGGCAACTAACAACCATCCATAACTATAGTTCCAGGGGAATCTGATGCCCTCTTCTGACCTCTGCAGGCATTGCACAACACTGGTTGCACTTACATACATGCAAGCAATACACTCACATATAAAAAATAAAAATAATGAATAAAATATAAAAAGTTAAAGCATTATGTTCAAAGAAAACAACTCCTACTATGCTGTTTCAAAAATTCTGGCATAAATAAAATTGGTACATCATAAACAATCATTGGTTAAAATAACATAATTTGTTGTGCATTTTTGAGTGAAAAGAACAAGTTACAAAATAATTCAATATCCTCCCCTTGGGGGGCATATGAATATATGCATTGAAATTTCTGTACCTAGATTTATTTGGGGATGGATAATTCTTTGCTATAGGGCTTCTTTGTGTATCATAGGCTATTTAGTGATATTCCCAAGTCCTCCCCATTAGAAGCCAGTGTGACCCTCTCTCTGAGCCATGCTAATAAAAAAAAGTCTCTAAGCCAATGTGGTGGCATATACTTGTAGGATCAATTGCTCAGAAGTCTATGGCAGGAGGACCACTTGAGCCCACAAGTTCACAAACAGATTGGGTTATACAGCCAGTTCCATGTCAACATGGGCTGCACAGTGAAAATCTCTCTCTCTCTCTCTCTCTCTCTCTCTCTCTCAAAAACCCATGTCCCCCAGAAGGCAAAACTGTCCCCAGATTAGAATAATTGCTCTACACTAATATACTTACAATTGTTAAATCTGTGTAGGATTATTATAGATAATTAAAACAATTTCTATTTCTAATTAGCCTATAATGACTATGTATATATGCACATATATCTTAATGTACATTACAATAAAAATAAGAAATATTATTAAAAATACATTAATCATAGCATTATATATTAAAAACTTATAGGCACATAGTTTTCATTTTTTAGTAAAGTCTTTGAAAAACAACTGTAGCTACAAGGGGAAAGAAAAAACAATTCTAAGATAATTTAGCTTGAATTCATCTGCAAGATGTGTGGGTGGTAATGTGTGGACCAGAAAGAACATGATTTATGACCTAGTGTACTGAGCCATGATGATCCACCCTCTTCTTAGTGCTCTTATTAGATTTGTCACACTGGGCAGACTTGTGCTGTACAAAGGATTTTCCTTCCCTCGAAGTACTGGTTTCCTTGGAGGTGAGCACAGCCTAGAGCATTTGATCTTTCTCCTGTTGCTGACTGTGGGGACAAGTTCCCTTCAGCCACCTTCAGCCCATGGGAAAGAGATGGTGCTTGGCTTCTCTCACTTTCTGGTAGTGACATTTTCATTTACCAGCTGTATAGAAGTTATGGGGTATGGAAATGGACTCACTGATAGATGTTTTCATGAAGAACATGGAAGCAGTATGTAAAACTCTGGACTTGAGGGATGACCAGTGACAAGATGGTTAGTGTGTGTCAAGAATTCTGACACTTGAACCTCACAGCTACACTTGTACCTAGGGAAGGAATCTTCTGAGGACACAGAAGATGATGTGGCCTGGCCACAGAAGAAGGGGCGCATGACAGCTGCTTCCCACATCTAGGAGGAAGTGTCCTTCCCCTGTAAGAAACATGCTATAGGCTCATTTGAATGTACAAATGTATTTTAACTGATAGGGTTATGTTGTGATAAACCCATTATAAGTTGAAAATATAACCTAACAATGAATTTAATATGTTGCATTAATTTCACATAGTCTTAATAGCATACCTGGCACAGGCTACTTACAAAATAAAGAAAGGTTGATCTTAGCTCACAGTTCTGGAGTTTTGAACTCAAGAATGAACAGCCTCATGGGTTTGTACCTCTTTGAGGATGGTATACCAGGTCAGGAATATACATGGGGACCAGTGTTCACAGCACAAACCAGGAAGCAAAGACAGAAATGTAGGTCCCATAATCCCCTTCAGGTCCTTCAAGTCACCCCAGTGACTTAAGGACGTCCCACTAAAACCCACCTCCTTAAGGCCCATAATAGTCCCTTTTAATAGCACCACCCTGGAGACCAGTTTTAACATATTGCTCTGGGGAGATACTCATTCAAACTGTAGCATCATTAATCCACTACCATGGCAACTCAGTCCACCATAGAGTGTCAGTTGTTTCCCCTTGTGACCGCATGGCTGACTCAGAGCTGTGACTTCCTGCTCTTGTTCAGCATTAGGAGGGAGGATGGTATCACTAGATCAGAGAGAGATAGACTTCTAAATTCTGAGATACAGTTATATAGAATGTATACAATTTCCATCTCACAGCAAGCTGAAATAGCTAAATTGAACCTTCTTTAAGTCAGGGGATGTCTATGAATGTGTGTGTATGTACACATGTTGCAAAACACTAAGATGATAAATATTTTTAATGTACTTAGGATGAGAAGAGACAGGAAGGTAACTCAGAATTAGAATCTTCTTCACAGAGGCAGAAAATGTGTTTCAACACGGGAGCATTGCAATCTGAAGGCACAGAGTAGGAAGCAAATTACTATTTTACTCCAGGTAAGAAAAACAAAGGTAGGCAAGTTTGACATTCAAATCAAATTCGTCATATGTCTAAATGGCTTCTTTCTCTGATGCTGAGCATATGAATTGGCAGACAATAAAGATCTAACATACAACATTCACTATGTGCCTTCTACAGTCTAGCTCTTTTCATTCCCAAAACAATAAGGATGTTTTTATTTATGTTTTGCAGATGAGGACATTGAAGGATGTGGTAGCCAATTAATAAATAAATATTTTGTGAATGAAATTAATAAGCTAAACTATCTTCCATTTTTTTGCTCTTAAAAACAACCGATTTACTCCTACTCCTGAACTTCATTTGTAGTTTGTATTACAAATCTGTTCTTCAAAGCCAGCAGAATCATTTCTACAAAGATCAAGAAGAACAGAACACCCTGATTAATATAATTATGCTCTAAATTAAACCATTAAATCAGAAGCTGTTTGGATTTGTGGATAATTGCAAATGACCATGACCCCAGAATCTATCTCCCTACCAGAGCTGTCTGCCTGTGCCAACAGCATGACAAAGGAAACAGGATGGTATCTGTCTTCCTGTAAAAAACCTCAGTGGACCAGGAGTACATGATTAAACCAAATATATAAAACCTGTTTTTGTAGCTCTAAAACAGCTAAACATCAATAAATTTACATGGATCAACTTTATAGATTCTATCATATTTTAATGCAGTGTGAGTATAGAATTTAATTTTCTTAAGTGGTAAAGGAGACAGAAATAGTTATTGGAATTAACTAGAAGGTACTGTTTTGTGTTCCTAGAGTAAATCACATTGAATTTAAATAAATTCTCCCTTCTATATTTGTTCAACTTGCTTCTTTTCTATGTCCTGTGTTACTACTGATTTTATTATTACATGGGCAGACAATAGTCATTCATACATTTTTCTCAAGAGACACTGAGGTATTGTCTATCCCAGTAGAATAGTAATACATCACTTCAACTGAGAAACACTTTCTAGTTTACAGTTATGTACACATATTTTTAACAATATATTTCTAAAAATAAATGGAATATTCTGTTATAAAATGTGGCATTTTCTTTTAGGCAACTAAAGGAACCTACTAAATTATTGAGAGGGCATTTTCCTAATTACAAAAGAATAACCATTTAGGTGCTGGAGAGATGACTCAGCAGTTAAGAGTACTGGCTGTTCTTGCAGGGGACTCAGGTTCAATTCCCAGCACCCACATGGCAGCTAACAACTGTCCTTAACTCCAGTTCCAGGGGCATTCAATGCCCTCTTCTGACCTATGGTAGGCACTGCACGACACAGGTGCACTTACATACATGCAGGCAATAGAATCATACACATAAAATTTAAAACTAATTAAAAAAGGAATAACTATTTATATTCACACTCCAAAACTACTCATAAAATGTTAAACACTGCCTCTTCAACTGGACAAAAACATGTGTGTGACACCTTGAAAGGTCATGCCTGATTTACTGACTGTAAACATGGATTATCATGATTAAATAGTGGGTTGAGACCATTACATGTGAACTTCCCATCCCCTTAGTCACATCTGTGTATTCTCATACTCAATAAATTCTGGAAAAGGAGTATTTATAAAACAAACAAACTTTATGAAATATTTTGACCGTAATATGGTAAAAACCCTGAAGATAATTGTAAAGGCATACTTGTTAGAAAATAATAAACAGAGTGACCACAGTACACCCTCCTGTATAAATTTCCTACCACTCGACCTGGCAAACATTCCTTGAATGTTTCCCTGTCTATGACAAAGCTCAGACCTCTGTATTCCAGAGGGTTCCTGCACTGGGATGCACAGTCATTGTAAAAACACTGTAGGAATCAACCACCTGGAGGAGATAGGACTGAACAAGTGTGTGAAAAACAGAGAGAAGAAATAAGTCATTGTTTCTGACCCTGGGGAATCTGAACACAGATCGTTCCTCTCATTTCCATGGTTCACTCATTTTAATGCTCTGTTCATTTGTTGACATACATGTGCCCTGTCACAGAAGGGGTCCAGCAAAGGAAAGTCATGAATTAGTTTTCCATTTGTACATGTAACCCCCATTCCTCCATAAACTGCATGATATAGTTTTCATTTTCTTCTGACAGCTTGTTGGGTGCTTGATTCTCATAGAGTCTAGACAAAAGGCCCTGCTCTGAGAACTGGTCACACCCATAAGGTTCACAGCCCTCAGGGTCCTGTTCAAAGTGAGGTAAGGAAGGGATGCACAGCCTGCCAGTCCGAGGATCCCAATCTACCAATGTTGTGGATGGCTCTTCCTCTGGCCCCTCTTCTAAGCCGGGATGCTCCTGCACCAGGTGGTGTAAGTCATTGAGCTGGGGGGTGTATGAACACAGCAGCGTCTGTGGGCCCAAGTTTCTCAAAGCTGCCTGTGATTCAGATAATTTCCTTTGTCTGGCTGCCTCTGCATGTCCAGGGAGCTGGTGGTCTTCAAGGCCCCTGCAGAAGTATGTTGGTACATCATATTCAGTGTCTGCCATTCCTGTGAACATGGTCCTGCTGAGCCACTCAGGCTGGGTTAGGGAGGCATCTCTGAGGCTCTCTGCAGCATCACAGAAAATGTCCATCAAATGCGAAGAGTATCCTAAGTGTGGCACCTCCACCTTCTGCAGATGGGGTTCTGGGTTCCTGCTGGGCTCAGGATCATCAAGGTTGGACTGATCACTGCTTTCTTCCAGTAAACTCATATCCTTTTGAGACATTTTAGAATCATCCAAAATATTGAGGGTGATAGAGTTAATTTTAATTACTTCAGTAGGCTCAAAGAACCTTTTGTCAATTTCATTTTCATAAATCAAAATCTGTAAAGAGAGAAGAGGAAGGGTTTCATCTTTTCACTTTGGAAAGACAGGATTAAAAACAGCTGTTAAGAATCACCAGCTAGCTTGAAAGAACTCTTACTAACTTATGGGAGTAAGTTATGTTTGGAATACATAGAAAACCTTGCTTGAGGAGGCAGGAGACCCAAGACCCACAAAATGCAATTGGAAGTGAACTGTGTCACTGGTGGATGTTTATGCAGTGAGAAGCTTAGGGCGTGGCTGAGAAGAGATTGATGTGAATCACTTCTTAAATCCTTTGGGTTTTATAAAAGTCTAAACTCTTCTACATGAAGAGTGGTAAATGTTGTGAGTTTGTGAAATTGCTTTGTGTTTATAGTTTACTGTGAACTTGTTATTAAGCTAGGGGTGCCTGGACTACTAGATCTTTCTGGGATAGACTGTGGACATGAATTGTACATAGTCATAAAAATTGGATCAAGAAAAGGAGTGTGATTGTGATGATTAGTTTAAATTGTCAACTTGACACAATCTAGAATCACCTCAGAGGAGAGTCTCAATGAGGAATTACCTAAATTAGGCTGGCCTGTGGGCATGCCAGTGAGAAATTTTCTTAATCCAGTTAAGTGACGGGGAAAAACCATCCTAAATGTGGATGGTGCCTTTTCATGGGTTGGGCCCTGGCCTAAGTGAAAGGGTGGGAATGTGCATGCATGCATGCATTTCTTTCTGTGGCTAGTTGCTTCAAGTTCCTGCTGCCTTAACTTTCTTGCAGTGATGAACTCACCTGGAATTGTGGGTTAAAGTAAACCCTTTCTCCCCTAAGATGCTTCTGTCTGGGTGTTTTACCAAGACAGGAAAGGAAATGACTACATTGAGATAGTGTTAAAATTATGCTAGAAAAAAGTCAAAAAGGGAACTTCATTTGTCAGTTTATGGGAGATAGAAAAACTCAAGATCACGTGGAAAGCTCATTGGAGAGAGAGAGAAAAAAATTGGCCTCTAGAGACCAGGTATTCTAGAGGCTAAGACAAGGAAGGCCAGCCTAGACAACTCAGCAAGACCCTATTTCAAAAGAAAAGATAAAAAAGGAAATATTTGCTGTAAGTTAAGGTATAATCTCCATGTTACCTGATGATATGATTTCATTTAACAATACATAATATAACCTTTTGCCTCATTTCTTTTACAAAATTGATGCTAAAAATATCATATGTAGCAGGGTCTGTTGGTGCACACCTTTAATCCCAGCACTCCAGAGGCAGAGGCAGGCAGATCTCTATGAAATCAAGGCCAGCCTAGTCTACATAGTGAGCTCCAGGCCATCTGGGGCTACAGGGAGATCCTGTCTCAAAAAGACCAAAAAAAAAAAAATCATATGTAGAGGCTGGAGAGATGGCTCAGTGGTTTACAGTATTTGCTGCTCTTGCAGAGGACCCAGATTGGGTTCCCAGCACCCACATGGTGGCCAACAACCATCCACTTCTAATTTCAGGGGATCTGATACCCTCTTCTGACCTCTCTGGGCATTGCACACATGGATGCACTTACATTCATGCAGGCAAAACACTCATATACATAAAATAGAAACAAATAAAGAAATAAAAACTTAAAAATCATATGCAGTCGATTGTCTGTGAATTTTCCTCCAAGAAAGGTCTCCCTATACCATAAAGGAGTTAACTCTAACACCTTAATGCAAGATAACAGGAAAATGTACAAATGGAACCAACTTGAACAAACAGATGTCTTGCATATACATACATATTAGTCCATCTTCTAATAATTTCCAAGGAAATAATTTTAATATTAAGTATATACTGTTGAGCCCATGGAGACCTTTCGTCAGATGTCCAGTAACATAGTGTTTGTTTCTTCTTCTTGCTTCCCCTTGCAGTGGATGCTCAAGTCCTGGCCATGTGCCTCAGACGTGTATTTACATTCCATGACTTAAATCTCTAGCTCTATGTCCCACTCTCCTCTGGGCTGTCATATTTTCTCCCCCAGACAATTTGCCACAGTATCTTCAAAAAAAATGTGTATGAGTGTTTTGCCTGCATGTATGTAAGTGCACCCTTACATGCAATGCCCATGGAGGTCTTAAGAGGGCATTGGCGCCCCTGGAACTGGAGTTAAGGATGGTTGTTAGCCGCCATGTGGGTGCTGGGATCTGAACCTGGGTCCTCTGCAAGAGCAGTCATTGTATTTAACTGCTGAGCCATCTCTCCAGCCCCTTACCATGTCATCTTAGCTGTGTTTCTTCTAGTCTTATTCTCTTAATGTTATCCTAGAACTAATATCCAGTTGGATCTAAAACATAATGGTGACTATGATACCTGCAACTTAGAACCTTACTAAGATTTCTCTGTCAACAGAATAGAGCCCAAACTCCTTAGATCATACCTAATTCTCCCATTCTGTGGCCAGTTGTCTGTTCTCCAGTGTAGCCCCTCATTGGGAACACATAATATATCATACGACATATTAGCCATATGAAGTGATTTATTTCACATCTACCCTCTTGCCCTGCTACTTTTTCTATTTGTAGTAAATATCCAAGCTTGAGGGTAAGAACTGGTCCCCAAAGGGTTTCAGGGCCTCCCTGTACTCTGAGTCTTGGTACTAGTGTTTGTCTTAGCCGTCATATTTCTTTAAATTCTAGACTTTAACTAGGCTTGAACTTTGAGAAAAGCAGAGGTCATGACAATTTATCTGTGCATTCCAGGACCTTGTCTAATCTACTCATTAATCATAAAATCTCTTCAGTGTTAAGGAATTTTTACTGTTGGTTATGTCAGTGAGCTCATTCAGTACAGAACATGTTTTTATTTGTTTATTTTTGGTGGCACTAAAGATCAAACCCAGGAATGCTATGCAAACACTCTACCACTATGCTACATTCCAAGCTCAGAATGAATTTTATAAATCAACTGTTTAATTTTAAGTCCACTCTGACCTTCTATGGAACTATATCTGTTCTAGGTCTTCCTGGAACATTTTGTTGTAAGCCATGGCATGCCAAGTACTCACCAAATTGGCTGGATGTTTCTCTTTGCCAACATGGATGTAACGGTAAATGGAGTAGACAATCACAGAAAAAAGAAACACAATAACAGATGTGGGCAGAACATAACAGAAGATGATTTTCACTTTCAATGCTGATGTTTGATCTATTAAAGAAAAAGTGAGGGTCAGGAATAAACAGTTGTAATTTTTAGAATATTTTATTTATTATTTTTATTTTAGTGTTTGAGTATATTGCCTGCATGTGTGTAAGTGCACCCATGTTGTGTAATGTCTGTGGAGGTCAAAGAAGATGGTGGATCCCCTGGAACTGGAGTTGTGGACAGTTGTTAGCTGCCATGTGGGGATTGGGAATAGAATCTGGGTCCTCTGCAAGATCAGCCAGTGCTCTTAACTGCTGAGCCATCTCTCCAGCCCTGACAGTTGTGATTTTTTATGGTGGAAACATGGACAATATCTAGAGGCTGTGAGTTGGCCACTTAAAATCAAACACTCAGTTTTCTCATTTATACACAGAGAAACTTGGGCTAAAAATTATAAGGGGTCTCAGAATTCTTCATCTCTCTGACAACAGAATATCTTAAAGATGCATCTAGACACACCTCACATCTTTACAGTAAGGATACATTAATATTCCAAGTCATTGGGTGTTCTAACATCTTACGTCTGACTTTGAAACTCATGCTGTTTCCTGTATGTGAAAGTGAATGGATCTGTCTCACAGCTCTTCAAACAATAGCACTCTCTAATAAAGATGTCACATGCTTCCCTGACACACATTGGGCTCAGTGTTTTCCTTATAGTCAGTAGATGACATGAATGTAGAGCATCAGCATGTGGAGACTAACAAACTCATTCTTGCATTGGTGGGTCAGTCCTGGGTAGGGCTGGAGCCTGGGGATGTTTGTGGTGAGGTGGCAACCCCCTTCCCAGTCCTGCTGTGCTGTAAATCAGTGATGAGTAAAAGTCCATCAAAGAATGAAAAGACTCAATGAAGAGTTTTAAGAGAAAAAGCTGTGGCCCACTAATGTGGACCCATTATGATCTACCATCTTTGTTAAGTTCCTGTACATTACTTCTAAGTTGGATTCATTAATTTGATGTGTCAGCTTGGCTAGACCATAGATATCTAGCTAGATATTTTGCCAAACATTGTTCTAAAATATTTTGTTTATTATTTTTATTTTATGTGTATGCATGTATTGCCTGCATGTAGGTAAGTGCACCCGTGGAGTGCAATGCCTGTGGAAGACAGAAGAGGCTGTAGGATCCCCTGGAACTGGAGTTATAGACAATTGTTAGTTACCATGTGGGTGCTAGGATTTGAACCCGGGTCTTCTGCAAGAGCAGTCAGTGTTCTTAACCACTGAGCCATCTCTCCAGTCCCCCTCTTTTTAAAAAATATTTTATTTATTAGCCAAATATTATTCTACGTTTCTGTGAGACATAGTTTCTAGGTGACATTCACATTTTACTGCTTAACATTTTAGATATTAACATTTAACATAGCTTATGAATAAGAAAGTTGCTCTCCCAAATGTGGATGGGTCTCATCCCCTCAATTAAAGGTCTTCATTAAAACAAACAAACTTATGACACTGAGGAAGATGGAACCCTCCTGTCAAATGGCCTTTGGACATAAACTACAACCTCAGTTCTCCCTCAGGTCTCCAGCCTATACAACGATAAGGGCTAACTTCTTAAAGTCTCTCTTGTACCGATGTGTCCTACTGGTTCGTTTCTCTGGAGAGTTCTGATTACTGCAGCAGTGAAAAAATGGATGCAAATTAAAAACAAATCACAAAAGTCCTAGAACATTCCTTATCACAAATAAAATCAGCCAGTATGTTACAAGAACATTCTAATCCTTGTGGATGTTGGAAGCTTACTTCCTGAGCCAGAAAGAAAGCAGTATAGTCCCAACTCAATTAATTCTCCAGTTATAGATGGGAAACAATGTCATAGACTTTGGGAGAGGTCAACAACAATAGAGGGAAAATCCAGTAAGGCAGCCCCTGCAGGCTGTTCCACGCAGAACAGTCCCTGAGGAGCAAATTCATCAGGGAACAGTCCCCGGGGACCATGCTTGTCAGCAAATTCTGCACAGGAAGGCGCCAAGTTTGCACCAAGGCTGTGGTGCAAACGTTGCTACTGTCTGAACTCTCGTCTTACTTTAGACAGCAGCATAGCGCAGCCATCTAGGCATAGCCCCTGGTCCTTAGACTGGGCTTATCAGGAATATCATGACAATAATGATTGGTGGCACTTAATGCAGTAGCACAATTGTTGTCATAAAAGTAATCCCATTTGCATTTTAGGGGCTGAGAGACTGGTGAGCAGAAATATTTTTCAAGTCATAGTCCTCAAAGAGGTAACACTGATTTTTTTTTTTTTAAAGAAGCAGTTATCTTGGAAAGGTATCTCAGGTGATTAACTAGGTGGGATATTATAGGAAACTTCAGAGTCAGAAATTGTGTGCCTTCATTCGTTCTTTTCCCTGCACGGTGAGGAAGTGGGCCCCATCTGCTTCCCTGGAAGAAGCTTAGTGGAATTTGCTCTAAGTTGCTGTAGCTCTGCCAACTGAGTAAACGATTTCCACTGGAAATTCACTCCTACTATTTGGCACTGATTAGACTGTTAGGAAACATAGCACTGATTTCAAACATGAAATTGATTCCTTCAATCTGCTTTGTTTTGCTTTGCTGCTTACATGGCATTTTAGTTTTATTTATATTATGGTAGGGAATCCCTCCTTTTCATAGGTGGTATGATAAAGTGAGACTCAAAATTAAAATTTTTTGTTACTTTTCACATGTATTTCCAACATGCCTTTTATTTTCCTTAAGATTATTTCATCTTGAAAGGTGGAGATTCTCGGTGAGAGGAAGTGTGGGAGAGGGGCTTGGGGGGTGTAGATGTCTAGTCAGGAATGGGGGAAGAACCGGAACCTGAGGCAGAAGGTGGTGAACATTTGTTGGAAGGGAGAAGAGGAAGAATAAAGAATGAAGAGCCTTCCGATGCCAGAGAACCTCAGGATGTATTTGTCTTTGATTTTGAAGGTTTGAGGCCAGCTTCTCTCTCTAGGGCAGAAGCATGCTCCTGACTCCAGGTCTCCTAACAGATGTGAGTGTCTAAAAATCACAGTTCCCTAGCATCCTTCCTCAGAAAACACAATAAGGAGACACATCAAAGGAAGGAGACAGAAGCAACTATAAGGAGAAGAGAGTGAGCTGATCATCTCAAACCTGCCTGGAGCTGGGAGCCATGTCTGAACACAGTATGAAGAGCCTGGAATTTGTATACTAAGTGGGGGGCATGGGGGCAAAACGAGGATGCTCTAAAATGTTTCAAGGATAATTCTTTGTTTCTTTCTTAAATATTTTATTTATTATTTATTATTTTATATGTATGAGTGTACTGCCTGCATGTATGTAAATGCACCCCTGTTGTGCAGTACCAGCAGAGGTCAGAAGATGTTTGTTATCCACTATGTGGGTGCTAGGAATCAAACCTGGGTCTTCTGGAAGAGGAGTCAGTACTCTTAACTGCTGAGCCATCTCTCCAGCCCCAATAATAATACAATGTTTCTTGTAATATAATTGTTGGATGCTCCTGAAGTCTGCTGAATTTCTGTTTGTTAGAGTGATGTATGATTTGAAAGAAGAAAATAGATTATGTATAAAAGTTCTTAATTGGGCCAGGTGTGGTGGCACATGCCTATAATTCCAGCACTCAGGAGGCAGAGACAGGCGGATTTCTGTGAGATCCAGGGCCAGCCTCGTCTACATAGTGACTTCTGGGCATTTAGTGCTACAGAGAGACCCTGTCTCAAAGAAACAAAACAAAACAGTTCTTAATTGTTATTTCCCAAGGTAAAATGATATGTAAATTGAGGAAGATTGTTGTCAGTAGGTGCCTGAGCTTTGCTGACAGTTCACTGATGGTGTGACAACCCTCCTTAACACTGACCAAACTCAGTGACAGAGTCCAGGTGGTTCAAAGCATTTAGAGTGGCAGATGTTTATGCCTATGATTCAGTCTGATTTTCTTAGATATAGATTTGTTAAAAGTTGATCTAAATGGTTGTACTTCTTAATGTTTTTTCAGATTTCTTTCCTCAGACTAGCTAAAATTTCTTGACACTTACCTTCCCAAGTACTGACACATTGCTTCTGAGAAGGCAGAGCAAGGCGAGGGTGCCCTGGGACGAAGGACTCCACATGGACACAGTACAGAGTGTTTGGTTCCAGCCAGGTGAGCACCACTGTGTTGTTTGTGACACACTGGGACCACTAGGGCAGGAAATTGCAAACAGAGGTTAGAGCCAAAGATCCTGGGGCCACCCCTAGAATAACTCTAGAAACAAGTGAAAGACTGACATATTGCTGCCCTCTTTATGTCACTATAAACATTGTTTTCAGCAGTTGTTTCAAAATGTGCTTTTTTTTTAGTTGAGCAGAGTGATGTTAGTAACCAGATCAATTGTAGGAACAATTAATTCTAAGTAATAACACTGGGTAAATTTCTCATTTCTTTGTCCTGTGTTCTTACTAATATATATTTTTTAAATCCTTGGAAAGTGACTGATAGATGATGTAGAAATCATGGAATGCTTGATTGCTTCACACTCCAGTAGTGATGACATGCATTGCTAGCAGAGGTTCTGTAAGGAAAACTGATCCTCCACATCAGCTTCAATGGTATGTAGTATGACATCTCTTTTGAATAGCACAAGATCCCATATTCTCACAAAGAGCATTAAAGCACTGAATGGCTGGTATCAGCATTAGAACAGGAAGGGAACATGGGGGTACGCCCCCTTCCATGTCAGGCTTACCATTTTTTTTGATTTATTGTTATATACAGACACATTGTACTTCAGGTTGGAGTATATTTGTTGCATAGAAACAGGATTATCTTTGGGATGTCTCTTCCACTTCTCTGGTGCCGTCAGGACAATGGAGATGGAGTTCTCACCAGTAGTCAGGGCAACCTGTGGTGGGCCAATTTGTGCTTAAAGAGGAGAGGAGATGGTATTAGCATCTTCAGGTTTAAAAAACATCCCCTCAGATAAAGGTACAACATAATCCTATTTGGATCAAAGACCTAAAGCCATCCTCTTATGGAAGATGCCTCAAAATGTGCTAAGGTGGACCCAAGTCCACCTTAAGCCACACTTTGAAACAATTATTTCATAGCCTTGTATTCATCCAGTTCCTAGTTGTGTAGATAGATAGTGAACGGTGGTGGTAAAACTGATCAAAAGTGTCTGTGACTGTCCTGTGACTTGAAAAGTTAGTGCTAACATTGACACAATTTCAGAAATGGGAAAATGAGAGATATAATTAGAATGATCTGGAACAGAGATCAATGAATTTTCACTAGAAATGTCCAGAGCTTTGTAGATCACAGGATCTCTGTTGCAACTCCACCGTGGTGCCAAAGGAGCCATAGGCAGCTATGCAAAGAAATGAGCCTGGCTCGTGTCCCAAAAAAACTTTGTGAGAAGACCTTGTAAATTGGTCAAGGAATCTCTAAGATCTCTCCCAGATTCAAAACGAAGGGTAGGTACCAATACTAAGTTAAAAAAAAATATATATATAGTATAGTGCTCACACCCGTGTCATGCCATGCCTTCAAAGGTCAGAGGAAAGTGTTGGGCTCCTCTGGAACTGGAGTTACAGACAGATGTTAGCCACCATGTGGATGCTGGATGCTGGGAAATGGAGTCCTCTGTAAGAGCAGCCAGTGCTCTTAACCGCTGAGCCATCTCTCTAGCCCCAATACCAAATTTTGAATTTATCATTTAATGGAGGTTATATCATTTTCACATGTGAAAAAATATCCTTTTATTTAAAAAACTATTTAAAATGTAAGTACCATTCTTAATTTATGGCTTATAGAACATCAGAAAGAGGAACTGGATCTGGCACAAGGGCCATAGTTTGCTAATCTCTGATCTGGCAGTGCACTGGAAAGGGAACCTGCTCCTGGGGCCTCTGGAGTCCTTGGATATTTTGTTATAGTGACACTCTCTGCATCCTTCATGGTTAGGTCAGCCATGTATCAGGGGAAGGTAAATTATAAAAAGCAAATGGCAGGAAGATGCTGCCTTGATTCTGAGTTATTCTTAGAAATGAAATGGACCTACCACCAAGTTTAATCAAAATAAGTCTTAGTTGGCAGATCAGGATACTCTAACTGATGTTCTGGGCATATGCCAATTATTCACTAACCTATAATGCTAAATAAAATATAATAGTTGCTCTTCGTAATGCATAACCTCCATTAAATAACAAGTTCAAAATTTGGTATTCTCACCTAACCTTAATTTTGAATCTTGGAGATATCTTAGAGATCCCTTGTCCAAACCTGCCAATCTACAAATTTGACTCTGGGGCCCAGACACATGATGCACCAAGACTGGTCACTCAACTCTCTGTATAGAGCAGAGCCAAGCAGACCCTGCCTTCTGGGGACAAAGTTTCCTATGAAGTCAGACTATCAAATCAGGAGTCCAAATTCACTTAATATTAGCACATGCTTAATGGACATTGACATAACTTACTTTCTGAAAAAGGATAGAATCGTCCAGTTTCAGCCCATTTGGAACAATTTGTTTCCCAAATGGCCTTAACTTTGGCATAATATTGGTGTTCATAGTCAGAAGTTTCAGCAGAAAGATCACAGTAGGTCCTGCTGATATTTCTGCATCCGGATGTACTCAGCCATTTTTTCTGCCCATATCTGTTAAGAAAGAAACTATGAAGTAATAATCAGGTCCCCTATATGCTTCACAATAAGACAGTCATTATATAGAATTGAATGGAAGACCTCTTCAGCAAAACAAAAGTGTCTGTCATGAGACAAAAAAGAGTCCACTTTGCTGCTGGCAATTTTTTTCATTAGCTGTCAGGAACATGAGCCAGAGTTTCTCTAATCACCTTCCTTTCTGTGAAATATAATGTGGATAGTTCATTCTGATCTGAAAGCAGGTTTTGGTTTTATACTTCAGCTACGGTAAAACTTTTACATATTGTGTGACAAATTTTTGAGTGGTTAAGTTTTTAGTCCACAATATGTATGAGGTCAGTTTGATGGGTAAGTTTAAGGAAAAGTTAGTCATTTTTTTCCATGAAAGAAAATTACTTTGACATTCTCAAAATTTAAAACTTTACTAGGTATCAAGTATTTGGGGGGAAATTTCTTAGGAGGGAGAGGATGAGCATGTTACCCCAAAATCTGTATTTTTAATAATTACGGAGCTGTTGAATTGATTAGTTAGTTAATATTGGTTTTCTTTGCTAAAAGACAGTATCTTAAATGAATGGGGAAGGATTAATAGCTTTAGAACCTCTCAGGTGGGAGAGACTGAGGCATGAAATGTTTAGTCATGTGATGAGCCAGTGGGGGCTACAGGGTTGCACTGGAGGCTGCTGAAGAGATTAAAGCAGGGCTGTTGGGGAATGAGATGAAAGCCATGGTTAGAAAGCTGACCAGTGGTCATGAGGAGAATGTGCAGTGTTGGAAGTGGCAACTTGGGGGGCAGCTGAGAGGATATTGCTGTGGTCCAGGTGGGAAGATGCAAGTGGTTTCGATAAGGATAGTGGCAGCAGAATGAATGAGCACTCAACAAAAGCAAGAACTATTAGGAAACAGGACCAGGTGATTGAGTATAAGCAAGAGGGCATGTAAGTAAAGGTGATAAAGTGATGAAGTGTCTCTTTCCATTGAGGGCAAGAGGGTGGAACATGATAATATTTACCAAGATAAAGATGACCAAAGAAGGGTAGGTTCGGGAAATGGGGAGGGGAAAGATAGGAGGGAAAGATAATAAATTGAGTGATATAGGTTGAGTGGTGACAGGTACACAAGGGTTCTCCGAATGCAGAGGCTTGGGGTTCAAGAGAGGAATGGGAGTGGGGGATAGAGGAAAGTCAAAACACTATGTCCCCACCAAACTCCACCAGACCTGTAGAAGAGTTCTATAAGGAGAGCCCCTAGAGATAACACAGGATACAGAATTTAAAAGAACAATCATAAACACGATCAAGGAATTCAATGAATTTAAGAACACACGAGCAAACAAATCAAAGAACTAAAAGAAGATAGGGATAAACTTCTGAATGAATTCACAAAAGAGAAACAGTGAAGAAAACTCAGGCGATGAAAGTACAGGAACCAGAATAATGAAAAGGATCCAGGGAAGTGCAAAACTCAATAAGCCAACTTGAAAGAACAGGGGAAAGCCTCACCTCTAGAATGAATGAAATGGAAAATAGAATATCAACACTAGAGGATAAATTTGAAGAATTGGACCACTCAAGCAAAGATTATGAAAAATAAAAACACACAGGAATGGAATATGCAAGAGATGTGGGACACCATGAAAAGAGAAAATCTACATATCATAGGCATAGAGGAAGGAGAAGAATTTCAGGCTAATGGTATTGACCAGATCTTAAAAGGATTGTAGAAGAGAATTTCCCAAAATTAAGGAAAGACATCCCCATATAAATACAAGAAGCACATAAAACACCAAATAGAGAGGACCAGAAAAGAAACCTCCCACAACATATCACAGTAAAAACGCTAAATGTACAGAACAAAGAGATAATACCTAAAGCAGCAAAAGAAAAACAAGTCACATATAAAGGAAAGCCCATCAGAACTACAGCTGATTATCAAGGGTGGGTGATAGGCATTTCAGAGACACTAGCATAAATTGCTCTAAGAAGACATAGGCACACACGCACTTATCCATGGATGCAAAGTCTAGATGAAACTTCAGGAGCACCAGGGTGGGCACGAAATAAACTTGGAACCAGCAGCTAAAGAGGAAGTAGAAAAGCATTCAGAGCAGAAGGCATTGGAAGAGTCTGTCTTGAATAGAAGGATGTGGCAACTTTATCGAGTACTGCCAAAGCTCAAGGATGTGTTCTCTTCAGGATGTGGCAACAGAGTTCTGAAAGCAAATCTTTCCCATTTCATAATTACTATATCTGCCAAAAGATGTTAGAAATACAGCCAGATCTTGATTAAGTTCTCTATCCAAGTGATCAACACTACCCGAGGACTTCTTGGTCAATGATCAAAAGGAAAAAAAAATAAAAGAAATCTGTATTTACATATATATTTACTTTGTGACTCAGCTCATAAAACACACATATCTATAATATACAGAAATAAGTTTTATAGGATAATACCAAAAGTTCTCTACATGCTGTTCATTTGGACATTTTCCACTATACACGGTTCCATTTCATTCCATTAAAAGTGATACTAGTTAAGCTATTCAAAATTGATTTATTTTACTTCATTTGAGACAGGGTCTCATATCCTCTGGCCTCAAATCCACTATGTAGCTGAGGATGATCTCGAACTCCTGACCCTCTCTCAAGTGCTGGGATTATAGGTGGGTTCAAAATTGATTTTTTTGACTTACCAACAGGCCTTAACTTTTAGCATGAAAAATATTGTCATTGCTTCATTTGGCTTTCTCACCTCAAACTTTTCACTCTGCCAAGGGCAGGACACTTTCCAGAACAAACGCTGATAGAGAAGAAATGCTTTTCACTAAACTCAGAATGGAAGATATAACAAATATTCCAGTAATAATTTTCCACTATGAAAAGTCTTGTGGGGTCCTTAGTGGTCTCTGCCTGTTTGTAGTAAGAACAGCAAACACCTATCAAGTGCCCGTGACAAGCAGAAACATGTTCTGGGTTTACATATGCTTCATCTCACTGAATTTCATAGCAACCTTAGGAAGTAGGCTCCATTATTTTTGGCCCCATTTACAGATCAGGAAATTGAAACTCAGATTAAGGGATTCAGTCAAGTTCGCAGAGATAATACAAAGCTTATATGAGTTTGGAACCAGTTTTGCCATGGGTCAAAGCTTGTGTTTTTGATGCTATGCTGTTTTCTGCATTAAATTCTTTTGGTGGGTATAATGTAAACTTTTGCTAAAATTTCACCTTGGAAACAGACTTCACTAAAAGATATAACAATATGTAACTTGCTCAAACTTACCCATCTAGACTTAGAGCCTGGCTACGAATCCAGTACTACCTGACCCCAAACACTGCGCCCTGTGTTCCTATTTGCCTTGTACATGCCCCGTCAAGTCAGAACGCCCACATGGCAAGCTTCTCTAAGTATACATTTAAAAAAGTTGCACAATCTCCTTTATTTGCTCTCATACAGCAACGATAATTCTGCCCATTTTAAAGTTCTTTCTGAAGCACTGAAAAACCTAAAGGACAGAGCAAACTCTTTGCTCCACCTACTGGAAAGAGACGTGAGGGCATGCTCATGCGCAATTCTTGCAAAGGTGAAGTCGCCCTTCCTAATACGCTAGCTCCTGAGAAAATCTTTGGCGATGCGAGTGGGGTTCTAGTTCTATCGAGCACTTCCTGAAGGCTTTTACTTGGCTCTAGTGATCAGAATTCATTTTCCAAAGACAGAAACAGTCATGCTGTTTTGTAAATGTAGTAGATGTTTTTAAGTTCAAACCATCAAACAATTCAGGAAAATATAACCAAGGCAGAAAGAAATTATCCTGCAACTCATTAATCTGAAGCATTCGGTGTACACCATTGCGGCATTTTATCCTGCTTATATGTAGACAGAAGGATGATTAGATAGCTGAACCGATAGAAGTTAGATCATACCTGACACACCTGGTTCTAATAAGGCAGTAACTTTTACTTGGTTTGAATTTTAACAGAAAGAAATGAAGTAAAATTAAATGATTTGGCGAAGTTCAAATGTTTCATCATCACAAGAGATATTAATTCCTGGGGCTGGAGAAGTGGCTCAGAGGTTAAGAGCACTGATTGCTCTTGCAGAAGTCCTGGATTCAGTTCTCAGCACCCACATGGCTGTTAACAACTGCCTGTAACTCCAGTTCCAGGAGATTCAACACCCTCTTTTGACCTCTGTGAGCACTGCACAACATGGGTGCACTTACATACATGCAGACAATACACTCTTACACAAAAAATAAAAATAATAAAAATATTTTTTAAAAGGTATATTTATCTTTTAAAAAGATATATTCATCCTAGTTCCTAAATGAACTTTTAAATTAAGAAAATAGTTTTTTTAAAGTACTGAAAAGTTAGTTATTAAAATAGTGGTATAAAATTGACTCTGTGTATCCATGGATTCTGCATCTGTGGATTCACCCAACTGTGGGACTGAAATAATTTGGCAAAAATTGCATCTTTACTGAACATGTAGAGACTCTTTTCTTATCCTTTATTCCCTAAACAATACAATATGGCAACTATTTAAATACCATTTACATCAGTCACAGATATTGTAAGTAATTTAGGGATGACTTAAAGTAAATGTGTATATTATATGTAAATATGTCATCTGTTGGGAGAGGGTCTTGGGACCAATTCCCCATGGTTGCCAAGGGAACAAGGAAGTTCTATCAGCATACTTCCTGCCGCTATTCAGTCTAGAAAAATTCTATGCATACACCTTTGTCATTACCAAATTCTTTAGGGTTCATCTTTATCTCTTTGTAGACTGGACATCATCTTTAGTTAGTGGTCTCCCATCCCATAAGTCCTCATGGGAGTGATATCCTAGTTCTCACACGCTTATAAATACTGTTTATTAAATTTTGTAAGGTTCTCAGGCATACCTGCCTTTCTCGCAATGTATTCTGTTGAGTACTGCTGGACAGAATCCCTCCTTACATAATATGAATCCCACCTTTGGTATGGTGGCCATAAGTCATTTCATTTTCTTCAAGTTCAGAAAACTATGCCTTGCTATTCTTTTACTAGACTTTCCAAGATATAATATGAATTTATGATACATAATTGCATTTTGTCTTTTCTAGCTGTTCAACTACTACTATCCATTAGCTATAAAAAAAGCCTTAAAAGAATTTTATTTGTGTGGTGGTGTGTGCCTTTAATCCCAGCACTCAGGAGGTATAGGCAGGCAAACTTCTGTAAAATCAAGACCAACTTGGTCTACATAGTGAGTTCCAGGCCAGCTGGGGCTGCAGGGAGACTCTGCCTTACAAAAACAAAAACAAAAAACAAAAAAAAAATATTTGTACTTTATATGTATGAGTGTTTTGTCTGAATGTATGTAAGTGCATCATGTGCATTTAGTGCCCATGGAGGCTGGAAGAGGGCATCAGATCTCCTGCAACTGGAGTTACTGCCTACTGAAAACTAAATCCAGGTCCTCTGCAAGAGCAGCAAGTGCTCTTAATGCTGAACCATCTCTCCAGACTCACTACAAAAGGTTTTTCATCTCGGTATGTTATTTTTACTTCCCATCTTTTTCCTAAGCTTGACTTACTTGCTTCAAAAATTTCACTCTTGTTCTGCTCTCTTCTTTCATTTTTTTTTTTCATCTGTGAACTTTACTTTTGAGATTTTATGTTGTTGGATGAGTGTCATGGCACACACATGTAATCCTAGCACTTGGTAGATAAATAGGAGAATTAGCAGTTCAAGGCCATCCTCCGCTATGTAGCAAGTCAGAAGTCTGCTTGGGCTACATGAGATTCCATCTCAATAAAATAAACAAACAAAAAAATAAACAAAAAAATAAATCAAAAAAGACTGTGCTGTTTATCTAGCTTAGTAAAACTATGTAACAATTATTTTATGAATTCTTATGACTTTTTCTCTTACTTACATGGGAAAGCTCTCAAGGAACTTTTTATTGTATTCATTTGCCCCCTTCCCTCTTCTAGTAATTGTGAACAGGTGCTAAACGAAATTCTTTAGGACTATATACTTATATATACTATATATACTAAGTATATATACTATATACTTAGAATGTAGCCTCTTGTTGGTAGAACACTAGTCAGATAGTCATTGTGGTTACTCCAGTTCTATCTGCCAAAGCCTGAAACCTACATGGACAGTCCCAAATGAAAATAACAGAAGAGCTGTCCAGCTGAGCCCAGGGAATCCTGAGAACTGTGAGAAGTGACAAAATATTCTGTGAAAGTCTGAGGTGTAGGAGTCAAGTTAAAATAGTGAGTCTTTTCTGTGCAGAAATTTAAGCTTCTGCTTCTGTCAAACACTCTCTTACCAGATCTATTATCTCTCTGCTGGAGAACCTGCCTGCCTATAGGTTATGGACTCCTGGGGGCTGGTGTGGCTCATGGTGCTCCTTGGACTACCTCCCATCCTCTGCCACTGCTTCCCTCCTACACCTGTCTCAGTTAGCTCCTGGACTGTGCCGGGGCCTTCAGGATGAAGATAACACTTGAGCTCCTCTTTCTATGACATTCTGTAACACTGAACTGTGGCTTCATGGGTCTATTTCCTCAATTTCTGGTGATGAAGCTCCTAGATTTCTACCTTCCCAGATGAGCTCTTTAGTACTGTGGCACTTATTCTTGTGAATTAATTTTCTTGCTGTTGGAGCTCAAGGGGTGCATGTAGATTGACTTTCAGCATCTGTGGTTGTATTACTTTTGATCTTACAGTATTTGGTTTGTATTCTTCACAGTTTGTGGTCTGGATTGTGTCCTTTTCTTCTTACTCTATGAGCATGATACTATGTATCTGTTTTGCATTCTTTTTTGCCTGCCATGTATTTTAAAGAACAAGCCCAAAAGAAAAGTGTCAGGGCTGGGGAGATGGCTGAGAAGTTTCGAGCACTGGCTACTCTTGCAGGGGACCCAGGTTCGGTTCCTGGCACCCACATGGCAGCTAAACACCGTCTGTTACTCCAGTTCCAGGGGCTCTGACACCCTCTTCTGATACATGCAGGCAATGCACTCATACACAGAAAATAAAAATAATAAATAAAAAAATTTTTTAAAAAGGAAAAGTGTCCATTTACTGCTATGTTGAGTAGGAATAGCCTATTGCATAGAATTCTGCACATTTTTTAGTCTATGGACTGCACTGTTTTAGTCTGCTCAGTTTAACCTGCTGAGCCCTCTCACCTGACCCTTTTCTTCATGTTTCTAAGTACCTCTTGCCTGAATAGTCATTGCTTCTGGTTCCATGATATAACTGATTTATAATTTAATATGACAGAACACATCAAGAAAATCTTTTTCAAAAAATTATTTAATACCATAGAAAGTTTGTACAATTAACAGGAGGAGTCTGAGTCTTATGTTTATAAACTAGTTCAAAGGGAAAAAAAAAAACCGACTTACATGAAATACTGTACAGTGTATGTAACTTCTGCTCCATGTAGATCCTCTGGTGGATTCCACTGTAGGACATTCTTCATGTTTATAGATAAGAAGGTGATATTTGTGGGTTTAGGCAAACCATCAGAGACACAGGGAACTGAAAAAAAGTAGAGAGGAATTGAGGTTTTAGAGGAGGAAAGGAAAACTTAATCCTTACAGTAAGTAGCTGATCTCTAAAGAGGCCCCAGTGAAACCATGTCTTCCAGACTCTGTGCTCTGTGTATTGCCTCCCAGACTGAATCTGAGCTGCAGCTATGACTCACTTCATCCAAGAGCATGTGGAGAATGTGACTCCGGAAGTAAGTCATAAGGTGGCCTTGAAGCTTCCATTTTAATGCTTTTGAACTCCAGAGTGGCCATGTAAAATAACAGCCAACCTGGTAGAGAGGTCATGCTGAGAGGTCACTTGAAGACATGGCTCAGTTATCCTAGTGTTCCAGCTGAGCCCAGGGTTCCAAATAAAAGACTAGAATGAAGTCTGGACCATTCCAGCTCTGTCTACTGGACACTGAAGCTGCTGAGAGACCAACCCTAAATGAGACTAGCAGAACGGTTCAGCTGAGCCCCAGGTAGACCTAAGGACTGTGAGAAATAACACCATAGTCCTTAAGAGCAGTTTGCTGTGTACCTGCGGATAACCCACCAATGCCCTTTTTTTTAGAGCTTATATAAAATCCAAGTGTCTTCTCTGGAGGCTGTGCTCAATGCACAGTCCCTCCCTACTTCCCACCTATAACTTAGTAAGTGCTCTACAAGCAGACACAGTTGTGGATATGAAAGCACAGTGTCTGGTCCTGCCCTGCCAATGTGCCAGCCTTCCCCTCTGTAAAATGGGGATAATAATTGCCTACCTGTATGTTGCAGGCCTGTTTTAAAGAATAAAATAGAAAAATGTTAAAGATTTGCAAGTCTTGAGCTAGGTCTTTTCAAATTTAGAAGTTATTGAGAAGCCTGGAAAAGTTTTCTTCCTAGTTGTATACCTGAAGTTTTATTAATACAAATTAAATTATGTTATTAAAATTGAGAAATAAAATTTCAGGTATATGTATGCCTAAAAGGTTAGTTTTCAAGGTTGGAACTTGGATTGAATTCACTGAAGTATATAATAAAGCAGTAAACAGAAAAGCAACTCGTGGAAGAAGTTATTAATTTCATTATTTATTTATGTGTATGTGTGTCTCTATGTGTGTATGAACACCTGTGTTCAGGTCCCCAAGGAGACCAGAAAAAGACATTAGATCCCCAGGAGCTGAAGTTACAGATGGTTGTGAGCCACCTGATGTGGGTGAACTAAACTCTGGTCCTCTGCAAGAGCAGCAAGCACTCTAAACTGTTGAGCTGTCTCTTCAGCCCCAAGTTACTTTTAAATATTAACATGTTCACATAACTGTTCTCTAAGAAAAACTATGTCCTACAGGGTCAATTTACAGAAATCCTTGGAAAGAAATGATAAGGAATTCAGAAGCTACCAAAAAAAGTAGGAAGAATACATTTTAATGAAATAGGATGATCTGTGTCAGTGAGATGACTCAGTGTGTAAGGCTGCTTGCTGCCAAGCCTGATGACCTGAGTTCAATCCCTGGGGTCACAGGGTGAATGGAAAGAACTGACTCTTGAAGGTTATCTTCTGACTTACACTTGTACACCTGTCTCTCATCCTTCCTAAAACAACTGAATAAAATTTAAAAATGTAATTTAAAAATTGAAATGAAGGGCCTGGAGAGATGGCTTAGCTGTTAAGAGCACTGTGCTCTTGCAGAGGACCCAGGTTTGATTCCCAGCACCCACATGGCAGCTAACAACCATCATCCTTAATTCCAGTTCCAGGGGAATCTGACACCCTCTTCTGACCTCTGCAGGCATTGCATGATATGGGTGCACTTATATGTAGGCAATACACACACTAATACATAAAATAAAAATAATAAATAAAATTAATAAATAAAATCCCCAAGTTCAGGGATGAGTCATGAATTAAAATAGTACATCGTGCATGCCTTTAATCCCAGCACTAGGGAGGCAGAGGCAGGCAGATCCCTGTGAGTTCAAAGCCAGCCTGGTCTACATAGTGAGTTCCAGGACAGCTGGGGCTACAGAGAGACCTTGTCTCAAAAAGACCAAAAAAAAAAAAGAAAAGAAAAAGTTCAGTGGTAACATGTAGGAATCAAAACATTAGTTTAAAATACTGGAGCGATCACAACATACTGAGTAATAACCAATCAGATTTTGTGAAGAACTTATCCTATTGTAAATATGCATATTCTAGTTAGTGAACCAGGAAAACACAAACTAAAATTTAGTTCAGTCACTGAAGGGTAGTTTATTCTTGGCTAACTCCCATAATTCTTGTATAAGTTAGCTGGGACTAATATCAAAGAAAGGAATTAGTTTGATGCTTGGGGTAATCCTTGACTCAGATTAGCTCCATATGATGTATTATATTACCACAAGCCAAATAAGAAAAAAGTATCTGTTTTAGAATTAAACTTTGTAATATGATGCTGATTTGAAGCACAGTAAGCTCTTTAAACCTGAGAAGTTGAGTGTGTGTGTTTATGAGTGTGTGTGTGCAATGTTTGTCATGGCTCCTACTTTTTTTGTGTGTGTGTGTATGTATGTATTGCCTGCATATAGGTAAGTGCACCTGTGTCGTGCAATGCCCGAGGAAGACAGAAGAGGCTGTTGGATCCCCTGGAACTGGAGTTACAGACAGTTGTTAGCTGCCATGTGGGTGCTGGGATTTGAACCTGGGTCTTCTGCAAGAACAGTCAGTGTTCTTAACCTCTAAAGGCTCCTACTTTTTACCTTGATAATTTAAAAAAATCTCAGCTTTATTTTTAAGAAGAAAGTTAAATACTCAAAGAGAAGCAGCATTGATGCAACTGATGACTGCTGCACGGTGCTGGTGTGTGATGTGTGGTAGGCAGTGGGGGACCTCAGGACACAGCGTGCACTGATGCCTTTGCTTTGACTCTCTTACCTCTTTGGAATCATTATGTATCAACTGATACAACATTGCATTTTCTGTAGAATGTAACTAACACACCATGATTTTATATCGTTCTGTGGTATTGTGAGATCCTAAATTTTAATCAGATTTTTTTAAGCCAGTATGAGGAATATAGGGAGGTAACACCACTGACCACAGTGAACTCCAATCCTTCAAAAAAGAGCAACGCTTTTGACATTAAAAAAAAAAAAACAAACCTCTAAGATCTTAGATCTAAAATGCTGTGGGGTCCCACATTTTAAAACGGCCTTAACATGTAGAGTAGTTAGTGTCTTGCAAGAAATAAATGAAAATAGACTGCATTATCCTATCACTGATGGAAGAAATTGCCAAAACAGTTTTATATTTTAACTGATAAGGAAATGGAATATTCTGATTTGTGGCAACATGAATTTGGAGATACAAATCACAAGTACTTTTAAATATTATAGTCCAGGCACATTTCCTAGTGCTTAATCTACATAAAAATCATTTTCTACAACACTGGTTTCTACTTGCCTGTTAATATAACTTAACAAGAAAGAAACTATAAAACTGGCTAAAACATGCCCCCAGAAGATTTAAGAAATACTTTGCTTTAAAAAAACTGGATCTCTTATTTTAATTTCATTTAATTTGGTTGTTGTTATGAGGAAACAAAGCAGTTTTGCTCTTCTGAAGTGAACTGTACTCTGGAACATGCTGTCAATTATTAGTGTTCACTGACAATTAGATTCCTTTGTGTGTGTGTGTGTGTGTGTGTGTGTGTGTGTGTGTGGTTATATGCACACGTATGTACATGGGTACACTTGCCCCTGCATAAAGCTGTGGTAGCCAGAGGTTGATGTGGGTGCCTTCCTCTATCACGCTCCATCTTTTTTATTTTTTATATTTTTGTGAGAGTCCTCTCTAAACCTGGAGCTTGCCATTTGGCTAGACTGGCTGAACAGCGAGTCCCTAGGATCCACCGTTTTCTTCCCCTCCCCTTCCCCCCATGATGACATTTCAGACCTATGCTGCTATGCCCGACTTTTTATATGGGTGCTAGGGATCCACACTCAAGTCCTCATGATTGTGCAGCAAGCAGTTTACCTACTATGCAATCTCCCCATCCCCTCAAAAGAGTGTGTTTCTTGCATGTGTGTAAGTGTACAACATGCAAATAAACCCACAGAGGCCAGAAGAGGGTGTTGGATCCCCTGGAACTGGAGTTGTGGGTGGTTGTTAGCTACCATGTGGATGTTGGGAACTGAACCTGGGTCCTCTGCAAGAACAGCTGGCGCTCTAAACCACTGAGCCATCTCTCCAGTCCCTACATATGGTTTTTATTCTTAACCTACAATTTTGTAAAAGAATGAGGAAAAAGGTCCTATTGTGTGTGTTGATAAATGAAATCATCTCATCAGATAATGTGAAGATTGTACCTTATCACAAATATTTTCTTCAATAACAGGCACCTTCCATGTGCCCCCCCCCCCAAAAGAGCCAAAAGATGGGTAGAGTGTAGTGAAATGCTGTCTTCTGGACACAGCATGACTATTATACTCATAAACTCAACAGCAGCTGTGGCTATGTACACAAGATCTACGCAGATTAAGCCAGTCAACATTTCAGCATGGATGAAGGAGGGGCTCATGAGGCGCCACCCCTGGTTGAGGAGCTATTGGAAGTTGACGGTTATTTGGCGAGGGAGAGTCATTTTTTTCTTTGGGGATGTGGTCCATTAGTATGTTGCCTATGGCCCAGTGGATGGCCCCACAACACTGTACAGGCATCACTAATTGGACTCAGTGAGTTATAAAAAGTAAAGAGGACATGGAATTGTGAGGGGAACAAGTTGTGGGTGGTCTGGAGAGAGTTGGAGGGGCATTGGTGAATGGTGGATATGATTAAAATACATTGTGTGTTTGTATGAAATTCTCAAATGATAAACTTCAACTTTTACATTAAATTTAAACATTAGAGTGTGTATGATGCTTGGTTTGCATGTGGGCATGCATATGCCGTGCTGTGCATGTAGAGGTCAGAAGCAATTGCAGGAGTTGGTTCTTTCCTTCTACCATGTGGGATTCAGAGTTCAAGATCAAGTTTTTAGGCTTATATGGCA